TATGTATGTATGTATGTATGTATGTATGTATGTATGTATGTGTGTGTGTGTGTGTGTGTGTGTGTGTGTGTGTGTGTGTGTGTGTGTGTGCGTGCGTGCGTGTGTGTGTGTGTGTATGTATGTATGTATGTATGTATGTATGTATGTATGTATGTATGTATGTATGTATGTATGTATGTATGTATGTATGTATGTATGTCAGCCATCTTTTTCGGAAATAATAACACGGACCGCCCATAATGGAAAGTACGCAACGGTCCCAGTTATAATTCGTATTGTGAACAAAAACGTGTTAACATTACTAACAATGATAATATTTTGTTTTTAATACCAGGAGGTAAATGTATTGATTTATCGTTCATTAACCCTTTCCGTACGCTCTGGGCTCATTTTGTACCCCAAGGGTTGTATTCTTCACATTTTAGAATACTTCTGGTACGAAGATCTCTTTGAAACTTTCAGTATTTGCCAAAACTCCTTTTGACAGACCGCCGTGCAAAGCGTACGGATCGGATTAACGAGTAAATTTCCTCTTTAGAAAGTGGTGGCACAGAGTTCCCCACGTCGTATGGATACGATAGTAAAACGGGACGTACGGATAAGGTTAAGTCTATGTTGTTGTTTGTTTGCTTGTTTGTTTGTTTGTATGTTCAGCAGAAGGGGGGGGGGTGGCTTTCGTGGCCTAGAGGTTAAGGTGTTCGCTCCTCAGTCAAAGGTACCCGGTTGGAATCCGGGTAGTGACGGGAAAATTGTCTCCTTTCACATCCTTTCCTGCTCTCTGCCAATGTTCTGTCTTCTGCTTTCGTTTCCACTTTCGGCCCCCACCCCCTCACCTTCTTTGCCCCCTCCTCTGGGCTTCTGACTCTTTCTGCATCCTTTCTACTGCTAGCTCCTTAGCTTCTTACTGCTGTCTTTCAGCCACACCCCTGATCTTCTGGTAGGAAAGATCTACACCTAACCTTCTCGGACAAGAACGTAAAATCTCGGAGGGCCCGTGTGCAAATTGCGCACGTTAAAGATCCCTTGGTGGTCTAAAATCAATAAGAATAGGCTTTGGCTGCCACCCAGGCAAAATTTAAAACTTCCCACCTACTGAAAATGTTTAATGTGTCCCGCGCGCTCATATGACCGTATGCAGCTGCGAGCGCCGTAAAACACTTACCCCCCCCC